TGGGGTAAGCAGGCTCAGAGGGCATCTCCAGGCTCTCGGGGACCAGAGAGGCTGAGGGTCACACACAGTGTGTATGGCTCTCGGGGACCAGGGCCGAGGGCAGGGGGGCGGGAAGGCCTAGGCACATGGGGTGCCTTTCCGACATAGGCCACACACCAAAAGCCCTCAGCACGTGACCTTGCTCCACGTGCTGCCGACCACTCTAAGGGGAGGGGGGTCACTCTGAACCCTGACATTGTGAAACAGTCTCACAAGAACAAAGACTGTGCAGTGGGGTGGACTCCAACGAGCTTCACGGATTTATGTCTGAGGTGAGGTGGGGGAGGTGGAGCAAACCTGCAGCTCTGAGAGCCAAGGGTTCAGGGGACAGGTAGAGGCCAGTGGCACTGCTCTGCCCCGTCGTTTGAGGTCTCGGCCACTGGATACGCAGGGCCCACCCAGACTCCCAGCAAGGGAGCTGGGCAAGCCCAGGCAGAAGGTATGGCTTGTCATTCTCTTTTCTTTCTTTCTTTCTTTCTTTTTTTTTTTAAAGTAGGCCTAACATACCTTCTTCCTTAGAGCCAAGTGGTTAAAAAGAAAAAAAAAAAAAAAAAAGGACCCCTTGCTTGGAATCTGTTACTTTAAAGCTCTGTGTGACAAGAAACATTTCTAAGACTGGGCAACAGACAGGAGCAAAACTGCAGAGGATGTTCTAGATGCACAAGGACATTCCAGTGGTGTCTGTTTCACCACTGAAGTGGGCACATGATCTTGTGTGGAAGCGTTGCTGTGCTGTTTTGAGCCTTAAGACATTTCTTGTCCCGCAGGGGCTCTTGCAAGGACAGGACCCTGCACTTCTAGAATCTTCTGAGTGTTCTGGCACAGGAGCATCACTGTCATGCCTCTGGGTGGTCAGAAAAACTGCCCCTCAGTTAGTGGGCATCAGGCATCAGGTACCAGGTAGAAAAACATTCAACAACCAGCTACAAGACCCTGGGGAAAGCCAACGGCCATGATGGTGAAATTTTTCCATAAGTCCTAACCTAAGAGAACTGGCAAAATCAATGCAGAGATAACCCCTCTGACAACTCTCTGCTGTCTTGCCAGCCCCTCTATGACTCATGCTTGGGCTGATCAATGAGAAGAAACAACTTGGGGTCAGAAGCTCATGGCCTCTGCCGCTCCCTGAAAGCTCAGAGTCTCTTCCTGCCATCTCTGCCCAGAGCAGCCACACCGATGCCCACATGATGGCAGGGTTGTCTCTGGCTGTTGGTGACTTTTTCCTTTCTTCTTTGGAAGCAGGTTTGGGAGGCTTCAAGATAGGATGACAGTCTGGTCTGAAAGTCCCATCTGAAACATTTTAGTGGGATTCACCTTTGACTCCAGAAGTCCATCAACAGGAAGACTTGCTGAGCGCCGGACGAGGATTCCCGGAGTCTATGGCTTTAGGGGATGGGGTGGGGCAGGAGGATCTGATCTGTCTCCTACTCACCTCTTCGAGGTTGGCACTCAGGCTGGAGCCCGGGGTCCTGCAAAGGAAACCGAGAATGGCCACATCACAGAGTCAATCAAAGCTCTACGGCACAGCTTTAAGGGGGGATTTAGGTGCTCAGAAGAAAGAGAACCACTTCCCCAGGAAAAGGATCTGATGACCTACCCCTGTGCTATGCTGACAGATGTTTGTTGAATGAATAAACACGTGAATGTCTTTCTTTCTAGTCTTTGCCCTGGGAGTTTCTGCAACTTCAAGGGAGCTACAATTCTTTCTGAAATTACCGGACACTTCCTGCCCAGCCCACAAGTCAAGGATGAAGAGGAAAGGCATCTGGTTATGAAGGGAAGGAAGAGCCATTGAGGAAGCACAGACCAGAGCCCATGAAAGAGGCGGTGAAACTTTCGAGGAAGCCTTGGTGGTGTGACTGGAGCCTCTGTGTGTTTACAGATTGGTATTTGGCACAATGAGTTACAACCCAACTCCTCCCCAGAGGGTCTGAGCCTGGAGGTCAGGACTCAACTGTTTGTCAGGAGTCTGGCTGAGCCTTCCCATTGGGGAAAGGGAATGAACTGAAAGCCCATGGATCCGCCTGCCTCTTTTCCCCAAGGCTTTCTCTAAGGAACCCAGGAATGCCTGCTGCAATACCTGGCCACTGTTGCATGGAGGGGCCTCCTGGGGACCACACAGGAAGATCATTTCATCACCCTCCCCTTGTAATGTATTTTTACACCCTGTTGTGTTACGCCCCAAGCTTCTCTGCACCTCTGCAGGGAAGAAACCTCAAAAGCAGAGTCTCTTTAAAAAAAATTTTTTTTTTTTTTGAGACAGGGTCTTGCTCTGTTGTCCAGGCTGGAGAGTAGTGGTGCAGTCATAGCTCATTGCAGCCTTGAACACCTGGACTCAGGCCATCCTCCTGCCTCTGCCTCCCAAATAGCTGGGACTACAGGCACATGCCACCATGCCAACTAATTTTTAAACATTTTTTGGTAGAAAAAGGGTCTCACTAAGTTACCCAGGCTGGTCTTGAACTCCTGCCTCGGCATCCCCAAATTTTGGGATTATGGGTGTGAACCACCGCACCAGCCTAAAGGCAGAGTTTCTACATCTTCCTCTCCACATGCTCACTTCCAGGACTCTGTCTTTGAAATGTTCATTATTGGCATTTGAAGCAAATTTATGTAGGTTCTTTTATCCACAGTCAGTATCTGTTTTTTCATTTTCTGATCCTTAGCTTTTTTTCTGGGAAGAGTTTCCAGAATCAGTAATCAACACTTGCTAACATGGTTGCACCTGTGGAGGCCCGGGCTGGGGATCCCAATACAGCCCTTTCCGCCTCCAGGCTCAGCCAGGTCTGCCAGAGAGAGAAGTCCTGGGCTCTTGCCTACCATCTCCGTCTTTAAAAACTGGCTGCCTTACAGTAGTGAGAAACTGCCAAGGGAGGGGGGCACAACTCATCAACAAGTGTACCTGCATAATGAACATGTATACCTAACCCTGAATTGTACCCCACATCTTTAAAATAAAAAGTTAAAAAGAAAAAAAAAATTGGCCGCCTTGGACAAAGGCAGCACAGCCAGACTTTCCTCGAGAGAGGCTGCCTGTTATGAGGCATCTCTCCATTCTAGGAGCTGCTGGTGGGCACCCCATTTAATCCAAGGGGTGCGGGCTGCAGGGAGAACAGACCTGATTTAATCCCAGCTAATATTCCAGTTGGAAATGCCATGCCACCCCACTGTAACCAGATTGATTGGGATCGGAACAGGGAAGAACAAAAAAGCAAGTAAATGAAAGATACGAAGGTTGGAAGGAAACACTTCAGCACCTCTGCCCTATCCCCCCACTCAGGGAAGGCAGGGCAGGAAGCAGGGGCACACGGAGAGGTCCTGCAGCCACGCAGATGGACGGGGCAATGCCAGCTGTCCCAGAGGGGACCCTGCTAACGGCAGGGAGCTGTGCAGTGAGGGGCGCCCCTGTCTGGATGCAGGGAGGGACCTCGGTGGCCAGGGGCACAGGGAAAGCCACCCCTGGACTGGGCTGGAGCTGGAGCCACGGTGCCCAGCGCCACAGCATCTGCACCTCTCCAGCCCCTGACTTTCCGTGGGTGTGTGCTCCACCTGCGGGGCTCCTTGTGTGCCTGCCTCCACTCCTCCCTCCACCCCCTCCCTTGTGTCCTGTGTCCCGGGGCTGGGGGAAGCCTGCAGCTGCAGAGTGAGCAGGCAGGCTAAAAAGGAGAAGGGCCACCCTCTTAGTATGACAGTCCCACTCAGAGGCTGCAGACAGCAGCTTCATGCACATGGCTTTTCCTGTGATGGAAGCCGGGACTATTCCCAGGACACTGGGGCCCCACCGCCCCACCTTGGTGGCAGGCACAGGTGGACGTGCACCAGTCGGGAGGCTCAGCAAAGAAAGGCTCCTGCAGGTGGGGGACTATACATCACTGTTCTGCCCACCCCGACCTGAGTGCCTGGGCCTGGGTTCTTGTCACTTGTGGGGGCTGCTGTGAGCAAGCTCAGTTCAGGTAAAGTCAGGCCTAGGCCAGAGCTGTGGCCAGAGGGAGGAAGGGCAGCTGGTGGAGAGCCAGCAGGCCGTTGTTGTGGCCCTGAGGAGGGTAGTTTTGAATAAACCAGCACATCCAGACCCTAACGTACCACTTCCATATTTTCTGAGGCAGACAGTGACTGGCATCTGGGCCCTGCATCACACCATGGGTGACGCGCTAGCAAGTGACAGCTCGCTGTCTTGTGCTGAGTAGCATCACCATGGCCATTGCCTGTCTCTCCTCCCACCTGTGAGTGGGCACAGCCCAGCCACATGGGAGGACCTTCAGCCTCCCTGACAAGACCACTGTATATCCCAGCACTCCAGGCAGGGCCTGGATCCCAGACCCGGCACTGGGGAGGCCACAGCTGCTGGCCATCCTGCCCTCTGGGTCCTAGACCACAGAGACCCAGGCTCTCCGCCCCCTGCACTCCCCCAGCTTTTGTCTGTGTTTCCTCCCCCAGCTGTTCCATTCAGCAGGTCCTGCTACAACCCGCCCTCCCCAAGAGGAGGCCTCCGAGGCCTCCATTGAGGCTGGCGGTCAAAGGCCGGCCCAGCACGTGCTGCATCTTATCAGCCCATCTCAAGACCCTGCTCCTCCAGGCTCGGGCGACAAAAAAGGGGGCGGCCCTGGCGCCCACCAGCTCTCTGCAGCCCCACACACAAAAGGGCGGCGACAAAGACGTTTTCCGGGATGGCAGGTGTTGGGTAGAAGAAAAGAGAGGCTGGGCTTCCGGGCAGTACAGACACGCAGGGGCAGGAGTGCTCAGGGCCCTGGGCAGGAAGGTAGGGGCAGCACAGGCAAGGGG